GTGGGGTGGGAGGCCGGGAAGACGGCACCAGACGGGGACAATCGGTGCCTCCGTCTTCGGGTTAAATCCGACATAGTATTTGAACACCCTAGCTGGGCATCCACACAAATGAATCAAGGTCTTGAGCCAGACCTCATTATAATCCTCAGTGAGGTGGAAAGACACTAACAGGTGGTTAAAGTTAAACCACTTCGATGAAACACTACCCTTAAAACCCAATTTCCGTAATCCAGCAGATATATCTCGAGGGGCGGGGATAGCATATGAAAACTTAAATACCAGGGTGTTATCTAGTTTACCTGCCAGGTCTCCAGATTCGGCGTCGGTGAAACGGGCCTTCACTTTGTTATTCTCCGAGCGGATGATGGTACCGCAGGCATGTTCGTAATTCCCGTTAAATGGGAAATCTTTCGGTGTTGGGCTCGGGGTGCTCGAGCTGCCATATTTTTTCCCCGTAATGGCTTCCCGAAAGGAGAGCGGCCCGATGGAGGTGCCATGGGGTGGCCCGGATGCAGTTGGGGTGATCTTGGGGGTGCCCGTCGAAAGAGTCTCGTGCATAGGATGTCCGGTCGAATGTTCCGCGGTCGACGGCGTTGGGTTTGGGACAACAACCCCGTCTTCCCGCACGTACATGATGTCCAGATTAGAATTTTCGGCCGCAGTCACGGCAACTCCTCTGAGTGGTTTGGTAGGAAAGGTTGAGTTCGGTCGGGGACCAAGTATTCCGTCCGTGGGCATCCCGTTAGGATAGCTGACCTGCTGCGATTTTCCGGTTGGCACAACAGGGCCGGCGCCGGCGACGGCGCCGGTGAGGGCGAGGTGGTCGGAGATTGACTGATGGGTCCCAGTGGCAGCTTGCTGTTGAAGTGAAGTGGTTTCTCGGAGATTGACGGATGTACTGTGATGTTTGGCTGCGGAGGGAGCGGGTTGAATTGTGGGTTGAGAGAGATGAGAGGAGATGGGCTGAACGGCTGGAAGTCCCAAAGACGGGCTAAAAAGATTGGGCTGGGAGTGTTTGATATTGGATCGCATGTGGATTTGTTGAAGTCCCAAAATTGGGTTTGGGTCAATAGGTGTGGGGACGTGTTGGGATTGGGGTGGGGAGTGAGATGTAGGCTGAGAAGGATTATGGTGGGGAATGGCCGGCCCAAAATGGTTTAAGGGAAGGTTGTTGGTTGAATTGGGCCTAGGAAGTTGTGGCCCACCCTTAGTAGTCAAGAGGCCCGTCTGAGAAGTCTTGGCCCGAGTGTATGTCTCCACTTGAAGTGGAAGCTGAGGGTTAAAGCTTACCTGGTCGCCGCCATCAGATAGAGACGATTGAGCAGGGAGGAGCAAGCCCGTCGGCACCAACAAATCTTGGCAACCCTCCGATGGAATAGAGCCGAATTTAATCGAGTGGAGTTGGCCGGTAACCTCCGCTATCTGTGGTGAGTGAGCGGCGTTGCAATTTGCTGCCGTTAGTTCTGTTTGCTCGGGATTTTCTCCGACGACAATCGGGAGCACTGTCGACGGTAACGCCTCAGTCGCGGAGGGTCGAGTTTCTGCAACTGTGTGTCGGTCTACGGGAGCACGCGGAAACTCAGAGGTCCCGGCCAAATTTTCCTCGGCAGTCGCACATATTTCTCCTTCTTCTAAGAATAGTTGCTAGGTTAGTAGTTGCTAGGTTAGTTCTCTGTAGTTGCTAGGTTATTTTTCTGATGTTGCTAGGTTAGTTGTCTGTAGTTGCTAGGTTAGTTGTCTTTTGTTGCTAGGTTATTCCTTTCTTGCTGCTAAGTTAGCTGTCTTTTGTTGCTAGGTTTTTTTTTTTTAAACAAACAACGCCCCGGAAGGGCGGGGGATTGGGCTGGATCCACAACCTGTGCATAGATCAGGACCCCAAAACGTGGGGCCCAAAATGTCAACGAACAACAATCTACACCAGTTTACAGAGTGTTACTAACAAAAATCAAAAACAAAAAAAACAAAAAAGAAAAACCGAAAAAGGAAAAAGAAACAGAAACCACAATACAAAGTCTATCTTCGGGCTAACAGATGCCCGAAATAAATGTCTAGACTAATGAAAGAAATAATCCTAATCTACTGAAAGCAGAACGCTGGGTATCCAAGTTGGTCCATCCGTACAAGAGTGCGAAGGCAGAGTGGAGCAGTGTCGGTCTGAAACGTATGTCGGCCTGGTATGGTGGCGCCAAGGCTGGCAAGGTAGTCAGCAGGTCTGTTCCCCTCACGGAAAATATACGTGATCCTGTGATGGACAAACCGGAGTAGATCTCTAATACGCATAAGCGGGTGCTGAATCTGCCACGAGCCCTGGTGGCCCGAAGTCTAAAGGGCGACGACAGCCGCAGTGTCTAGCTCGATCCAAATATGGCTAGACAGGTGGACAGCAATCTGAAGGCCAATCTGTAATGCCTGAATCTCTGCAGCGTAGCTCGAGGAGGCCTGAAGGGGCGCGTGGAAGGTGGTGATGAGGGTGCCACTGTGGTCCTGAATCAAGCCTCCTCCTCCGGCAACTCCGGTGGGGGGCCCACCCTATAGCGGTGTGGTGGCGTGCAACCTGTTCAGTCTCAGGCCGTGAGCCTGCCCAATGCTATGAGGAGTGAAATGTGTCTCTCTACCTGCAAAACAATGTGAGAAAACATAAAAGTAATATCCCTATGCTTCGCACTATTCCTTTCTGTCCAGGTGAACCAAAGGATCAAACAAGGAATGAGGAAGCCCACGTGTCTAAGGTGTGTGTTCTGTGAGAAAAAACTCAAGAGCTCAAAAAAACTGTATGTGGTGGGTAGGGGTATATGGGTCCAAGTGGCAAAATGCTCCCACACTCTCCTCACAATCTCACTCTCTAGAAAAAGGTGGGTAAAGGTCTCGGTCTCATGGCGTCCAGTCTCAGAACAACACACACACCGAGAGGGGAAGGACATCCCCCTCGCGTGTAGCACAGTATCCACGGGTATCCGGTGCAAGAGGAGGTGCCAAAGGAACACCAAAATGGTAGGGGTGAAAAGGTCACTTCAGATGGCCCCAAAGAGGAGATTAGGCCGATCCCTCAGCCTGATCTGCTCCCAAGCCGAGGTAGTAGTAAACATACCCGATGATGTAAGTCTCCACCTCATGCTATCTGAACCGTCCTCCGAGATAGGGATCTGCTGGATCTGATCTAATAAATGCTCGCTAAAACCCGCACCAGAGCCCAACTCCCTATCTAGCCTCCCCCTATCCCACGACCCGTCCGTCCAGAGGTCGCTCACAAGCAGGTAGGGGGAATGCGACACCTGCCTATACCTAGACAACGGCCTATCACCTACCCACCACTCATCCCAAAAACTAATATCGCCCTCGCCCAAAACCCAGAAGATGTGATCTTGGGCGCGCCTACCGACCCAAGTGAGGCGCCGCCACTGCCTACTATCATGATCAACTGCCGTCACCCAACAAGGGTAGTTGGCACGTCTAGGGCAGTACTTGTCGCGAAGGTACTGAGCCCAAAGCGACTTTCCCTCCCTGAAGCGCCACCACAGCTTGTAGGAGAAAGCTGTAACAATGTCCCTGAGGCGGCGGATGCCAAGTCCACCCTCGGGGAGGGGGCGGCAGATAGAGTCCCAACTCACCCAGTGGGTACGTCTCCCCCTCCCAGAACCGTCCTCGTAACCCCAGAAATAACGAGCCATAATCTGGTCTATCTCGTCAAGAGTAGACCTAGGGGTGTCGAGGACCATAAGTAAGTGAATCGGAAGAGAGCTAAGAGTTCTCTTGGTCAGCACAAGCCGACCACCGAAAGAAAGATGTCTATGCGACCAACCAGGGATCCTGTCGATCATCCTCTGCCTGACGCCCGCAAAGAGCGCTCTCGTGAGGTTGCCCTTATATAAAGGGACGCCAAGGTAGGTAATGGGAAGGTCGCCACGTGCAAAGCCAGTAATGTCGTGGACCCGCTGAGCCCACCTGGCCGCGCTAGAAGAGGAGAGTGTGAAGGTGCTCTTCTGCACACTGACCAGCTGACCGGTAACTGAGCCATAGTGCTCCAAAAGGCGCATGAGCTCGACCAGTCCATCATCATCCGCCCGGGTGAAGATGATGATGTCATCCGCGTAAGAGAGGTGAGAGATGGGAGGACCATAGCCACGGGTGTTATACGTCATATAAAGAAAGTCGCGGATGAAACCGTCAAGGCAGCGAGAGAGGTAGCCCGCCGCAAGAACGAAAAGGGAAGGGGACAGGGGGTCGCCCTGTCTAAGGCCTCTAGATGAGGGAAAGAAATCGGTGGGGCTGCCATTGACCAGGACCGAGAACGTGCAGTGCTCCACGCACGCCTCGGCAAAACTGATCCAACGGTCAGGAAATTCCATCCTAGCCAGGGCCTCCATAAGAAACGGCCACTCTACCCTATCATACGCCTTAGCCATATCTAGCTTCAGCCCGATATTCGGAGCTCGCTTCCAATCTGCTCGGGAGATGTCGTGGATCATCTCCTGGGCCAAAAGGATGTTATCACTAATGACCCAATCCTTGACGAATCCACTCGGGTTGGGTCTTTTAGGGATCAAGACGACAGAGGTAGACATGAAGGAATCCGGCATCAGGTGACTAGAGAAAAAATCCAACATCGCCTCCTCGACGTCAGTCTCAACTAAATCCCAACAGACCTGGTAGAAGAGGGAGGAGAAACCATCCGGGCCCGAAACGCTGTTGGGATCAATCCCGAATACAGCATCCCCAACCTCCTCCCTACTCGGGAGCTCACAGAGGCCAATGAGATCGACTGAAGGAGGGATGGTGGAGAAAAGAGAAGCGGTCGGGGCCACGAGGGACCCTCTATCAGAGGTGAAAAGGGTCTGGAAGTGAGCAACAGCCGACTTCCGAATCTGAGCCTCTTGGGTCAAGGATGACCCATCAGCCTCGATACTATGGATGTACGACGTAGCACGCTTATGCCTAACGTAGCCCTAGAAGAACCTAGTATTCCGCTCGCCCTCGGCCACCCAGCGAACGACCGCCTTCTGCTTCCAAAAGTCCTCCTCCATAAGGAGTCGGAGCTGGTACTCGGCGTGGCAGCGGTGCATCGCAGTCCTATTTTCCGGAGTGGGGTCCAGGTCATAGGCCCGCTCAGCCGTCGCGTGCGCACTCTGAGCCGCAGCAAGGCGCTGATGAAGGTTTTCAAAAACATCCCAGTTCCACTGTCTCAACCGACGCCGCAGTCTGCCGAGCTTCGCCTCGAGATTGCGCATCCCGAAGAGCCCAGTCGGCTGAAGCCAGGAATCCCTGACAGTGTCGTGGAAGGAGTGGTGACGAACCCACATGTTCTGGAACCTAAATGAAGAGCGGTGAGGGGTGCTCGAAAATCGGCACCGGATGAGAAGGGGTGAATGGTCAGATCCAAATCGAGTAAGGTGTGTGACAGTCGTAACCGCAAACACCTTTGCCCATGCCTCAGAAACTAAGGCACGGTCTAACCTCTCTTTGAGTCCGTCCCTCACCCATGTGAAGGGCTCACCATCACGTCCAGCGTCAATTAACTCACAGTCCGCCACCGCCTGCGCAAAATCCCACATCTCCCGTGACCGGTCCGAACAGCCACCCACACGCTCATCGGGATGGAGAAAGATGTTGAAATCGCCACTAACCATCCATGGCAATCCCTCCATACTCTCTGCAATCTCACGCAGGGTGTCCCAAAGATTACATCGCCCGACCCTAGTGCACTTGGCATAAACCAAGGTGTGAAAGATGGGCTCCGTGAGGTGGGAAGCAGAAAGCTCAACGTGAAGAACCTCCTCGGTATCACGGAGGACTCGACAGGTGTAGTCACGTGAGTGGAAAAACTAGATCTTATGCGAAGTGTTACCCACGCCCGAGTGAAAGCCAAGTCGACGTGAGTCGTAGTCAAAGGAAGGGGTGCGAATCATCGGCTCAATAAAGCCAACAAAATCTAGTCTGTGATCACGGATGAGAGAATAGAGGTGAGAGAGAGTAGCCCTATTCGCCAGGCTACGGCCATTCCAAGTAATGCATGTGATAGGCATATCAACGGTCGCAAGAGCCACCGGACATAGTCCACCTGTGGCGAGGCTGAGTCGGGCCACCTAAAGAAGGAATGTGGTTGAAGGATCGAATTGTAGGGGAGACAGTCCGTCGTGTCGTGCTCTGCGTGGCTCTAGTCCTCGTGGACTGCCTGCCTCGATAGGTGCTCGTGGCCTGCGTGTCGTCTGGCTGGGCAGTCTGACCAAGAGCGGCACTAGCGGGTTGCCCCATCTCTGGGGATGTCTCCTGTCTGTCATAGTGAACGAAGCCACTAGAGGCGAAGCTCTCACACGAGACGTCATGCTGGGTGTGGTTAAGACCGCATGCCTGCTCGGGGATGGGAGAAAGAGAGGATCTAGCAGGCTGAGCACTATTGTGCTCGCCGCCAGATGATGGGTGTGGGCTGGCTATGTGCTTAGCCGAGCTCCTGATATCTGCAGAGGGAATATGGGCCAACTCATCCCCTTTCGGGGGAGCGGGCCCGGCGTGGCCCTCAAATCCAGAGAGCGGTCCGAGCTACATG